GTTGGCTCTTTGCCAGCCTTGTGGTGCTGGGCACCACCGGGGCCATCCCAATGCCCAGTGGTGGTTAGTGCCCTCTCGACAGTGCTCAGGAGCCTGTGGTATGGAGAGCCAGCCCGGTTTGGCTTAGCATGTGCCTTCTTCGCGTCACTGCCTCCTGGCCCAGAAACTGGAAGCTTTTTTTATAGAAAAAAGAAAAAAGCTTGTTCTGGGGGCTGGAGCAATAGCACAGCGAGTAGAGTGTTTGCCTTGCACGTAGCCAACATGGCCTACCCAGGTTCGATTCCCAGCATCCCATATGGTCCCCCAAGTACCGCCAGGAGTAATTCCTGAGTGCATGAGCCAGGAGTAACCCCTGAGCATCGCTGGGTGTGACCCAAAAAGCAAAAAAAAAAAAAAAAAAAAAAAAAGAGCTCGTTCTGGGTAAGGGCGCTTATTCTCTGAGCAAGGTGACAGTTCAGGCAAAGCAAGAGAGTAGAGACAGACCTGAATCCCTGTTTCAGGGCCAGAGACCTTCCCAAAGCCGAAGACCCCCACGCCACTGCCACACTGAGCAAACGTTAAATTCCCCCCTCTTGACCTACGATGGCGAATAAAGAGCAAAGTTCTTTCTTCTAAAGTTGTCCTTCTGCCAGTTGCTCCCGCACCCTGGAGCTAGAGAAGGAAGGAGGGCAAGGTGACATTTGGGGGGGCCTCCTTTCTCCCCGCCTCCTCCTCCTTCCCATCCCACACCCAGGATCCTTCAGAAGCAATCACTAGACCCATGCATTTCCGAGCGCCGCGTTCTGGAGGGTACGGGAAGGTTGTGCGGTATGTCCCGTGGCTCTAGCTGATTTGCAGCCAGTGGAGAAATGAGAAGGGAACAAAGGCAAAAAAAAAAGGGGGGGGGGCCGAAAATACAAATAAGTTCCTTTGACACAAGTTGGGGAGGAAGAAAAAAAAAAACCACAGGACATACATGCTCCTTTTTTAAAAAAAAAAAAAATTTTTTTTTTCCGACCGCTCCAGGTGTGATGGGAGATTATATGAAGCCACACAGGAGAGTGGAGAGTTAATTAAAAAATTGTTGCTCCTACTCCTTGCCAGCCGCGGCTTTTCTGTTTGATAAGCAGGCTGGCTTTGGAGTGCCGTTTGCGCTTCTCTCCTCGCTGGAGAGGCACAGAAAGGCAGATGAAAGGGGCCTGCCACGCGGACAGACACCCCACCTCCTCCCTCCGCTAATGGACTTGAAAGCCTTCCCCACCTCTGCTGCTGCCGCCCGCGTGGGGCTCATGGCATGTTCCAGAAATGCCTGCTCTAGACTATTGATAATATGCAAACAGGCTTTGATAGATGCTTATGGAAAACCACTTCCAGCAGTAATTAAATCAAGGCCTGCCCGGAGGGTAGGGGCGGAGGGCCTGGCGGAGCATGACACCTCACTCTACCTGCTTTCTCTGTCCCTCTTACGTTCCCCGAGTGACAGCCCCCCATTAATGCTCGGGAGCTGGCCGGGGGCTCTCCCGTGTTTTGTTGTCATGTTTTCCCTTTGCCTTTGAGTCTGGATGCTTCTGACCCTTCGAGCTGACATCCCCTACCCGGAGGAGGGTGGAAACTCCATCCCTCCATCCCGGCTGTCATTCTCCCAGAGTGACAAAATGAAATACAGAAAGGGGCGGGGGGGGGGGGGGGGGGGAGGCTTGTCTGAGCAGCAGGTCAGGCTGCGGCGGGGATTCGGCCATTGTCTTGAGTCTCCGGGTGCCTGCGGAGAACCCCCTGGCACAGTCACCAATAAAAGGACTGCATTCCGCCTCCTCTCAGGGCTTTGTCAGGCGCCAAAGCTTGTCCTGGTTGCCATGGCTACTGTCTGATTGTGGCGGGATTGTCCCCGCTCCTGATAAAGTGGGAAGGTTATTTTTGATAGACCCAAGTAATCATAACCTTGCCAAGCTGGGGAGGGGGCTTTCCCTCCCCTCTCTTCCCTTCCCTCCCCCCGCCGCCCCCCCCCCCCCCCCCCCCCCGCCAGCAGTCCTCTAACTCCGGTGCAGGCTGAGGCCAACAGCAGCCTGGCAGCCTCTGCAACCAGCCAGGACAGGAACTGCCGTACAGGGGCCCTGCTGATCTGGAAATAGGACCCCATGTGTCTGGGGGGCTGCTGGGCCACCAGCTGCCTCCTTTTGCCTGAGATGGGGCTTCGGGATGGGGCAGAAGGAGTCTCTCTCTCTCTCTCTCTCTCTCTCTCTCTCTCTCTCTCTCTCTCTTCTGCATCCTTCCTTCCCTTCCCTGCATTCCCTGGCCCAGCATGGGCAGCTATAATGGCACGTCTGATGGGGCTGGAGCAATAGCACAGGAGGTAGAGCGTTTGCCTTGCATGAGACCGACCCGGGTTCGATTCCCAGCATCCCATATGGTCCCTTGAGCACTGCCAGGAGTAATTCCTGAGTGCATGAGCCAGGAGTAACCCCTGTGCATTGCCGGGTGTGACCCCAAAAGCAAAATATATATATTATATATATAAAACATATATATATAATATATATTAAATATATAATGGCACATCTGAGCTGGCCTCGTTGTGCTTTGCAGGCCGGACCGGGGGCTCCTGAAATCAGCTTCACACAGCCCCGCCCCCCAGGGCTTCTGCTGGGGGCTCTCAGGCAACCGTGCCTGTGTGACCCATGTCCTAGGCAAGGTCCCCATCCCTCTGAGAACCGCTGAGGGTGGGAAGGATTGGTTCGTGCTCATAGCAAGGAACCAAGCAAGTCACCTACTGGGGCTACAATGACACAGTCACCATGCCCCGGCCAGGCCCCCAAGATGGTGCTTGTCTAGCCCCCTGGAAGGACCAGGCTGGGGCCCTCTGCTGTCCCAGGCACCGCTGGTCCCCGCCCTCTAAGTCCCCCTCCTCAGGCACTCCGGCTCCTGATCTGTGCATGTGGGAGGCCTGAGCCTCTCCTGGAGTGCCACACTCCCAGATGGGCCACCCCATGGGCCCAGCAGCCTACCTTGACCATGTGACCTCTGTGGCCTCTACTCCGTAGCCAGCAGGCCCTGTTCAGCAGGTGTCCATGTGTGCTGCAGGAGCAGACCCCTTCTGCATTTCCAGGGACACCTGCTGATGAGGCCACACCCTGGGGAGTCAGTGACAAGCCTTGGGACAGAGAGGAGCCACGTGTGCAGGGCTACAGGGGCCCGGGCCTGGAGAATCCTGAGAAGGGCCTCGAAACTGCCTCGCTGGGGTCCCCTCGGTGGGAGCAGGACTGATTTTAGATAAAGGCCAGTGTTGGTCTCCACCCACCCTCACCGAGAAGGAAGCACAGGTGGGTCAGTGAGCCGCCATGGCAGGCTACAGCCACGGGCAGATGGGGTGCATGTGTGTCTGGGAGGGACAGGTGGGATAGGTAAGCGGGGAGGGGGAATGTGGTGGTATGTATGTGATGTCTGTGTGCAATATGTGTCCGTGTGGCATGTACACTTGTGTGGTGTGTTTATGGTATGCCTATGTGTGGTATATATGGAATGTATATATGTGGCATGTGTGTTTTGTGTGTGTGATATGCCTGTGTGTGGTGTCTGTATGAAGTGTGTGTGGGGGGGGTAGATGTGATGTTTCTATGGCTTATATGTGGTGTGTGGTATGTATAGTTATATGATAGCACTATCTATAGCACTGTCCTCCCGTTGTTCATGGATTTGCTCGAGCAGGCACCAGTAACATCTCCATTGTGAGACTTGTTGTTACTGTTTTTGGCATATCGAATATTCCACTGGGGGCTTTTACCAGGCTCTGCCGTGCAGGCAAGATACTCTCAGTAGCTTGCCAGGCTCTCCAAGAGGGACGGAGGAATCAAACCCAGGTCGGCCACATGCAAGGCAAACGTCCTACCTGCTGTGCTGTCGCTCCAGCCCAGTATGTGTGTGGAATTTTTGTGTTGCGTATATGGTGTGTGTAGTATGTGTAGGGGTTATGTGTTGTCTGTGGTATGTCTGTGGTGTGTGTATGTGTGTGATGTATGCAAGTATTGGTGAAGGAGGTGTGTATATGGGGGTTTATGGTACGTAGATGTATGTGTATGTGTCTGGTGTATGAGGTGTATGTGTGTAAGTTTGTATGGTGTGTAGGTGGTGTGTATGTCTGTGATGTTTTGGGTATTGGGATGTGTGTGGTCTGGGTATTAGCAGGGTCTGTATTGCAGGTACTTGAGGGTTTGGTGTATACAGGAATGGGGATATGTGTGGGTATGGGGGAGATGGTGTATATGAGTATTGAGTGCATATGAAGGTATTGGGGGCATGGCATATGCAGGTTAAGGGGGTGTATGTGGCTGTTGGGGTATGTGTGGTATATGCAGGTTTTGGGTGTGTATGCAGGTAATGGGGTGGTGGTGTATTCGGGTTTTGTGTGTGTGTGGTGTATGTGGGTATTGGGTGGATGGTGTATAAGAGTATTGGGGGGGTGTGGTGTATGTGGGTATTGGGGTGAGTGTGCGATATATGCAGATATTGGGGGTATGTGTGATTATGTGAGTATTGGGTTTGTAGTATATGTGGGTATTGGGGGGTATATTTGGGTATTGGCATATGTATGGTGTATGCGGGTATTGGGGTGTGTGGTGTATGTGGATATTGGGGTGTGTGGTGTATGCGGGTATTGGGGGGTGGTATATTTGGGTATTGGAGTGTGTGGTACATGCAGGTGTCGATGGGTATGCTACTACTGCTTGCTGAGAGGGGCAGAGAACTTGCTCATTTGTCAGATGTCCTCTAAGTCCCCAGGACAGTGAGGTTGTCCGATGCCCCAAGTGCGTCTCTGACCTAGGGCGGTTTTGCCTTGCTGGTGGAACTCAAATATCAACAAATCGGCGCCTTGCCTGGGATTCCCGGCTGGGACTCAGCCTGCGTCAGGCCCAGGAAGGGCTGGGCGGGAGCTGGCCTGCAGACTGCGGCCACCACTCCCACTGCACAGCAGAGGTGGAGAGTCGTGGGATGAGGCCAGGCGCCCTCACAGCATCCTTTGTCCCCAGGGTGTGGAGGTGCAGACTGACTATGTGCCCCTGCTGAACTCACTGGCGGCGTATGGCTGGCAGCTCACCTGCGTGCTCCCCACACCGGTGCTCAGGACCACCAGGTAACCAACCGGCAGGGCGCAGCGGTGGCTTCATCATAGCCGATGGTTCCAATAAGAGACAGCCAAGCACTGTCTCTGCACAGGACCCTCCTCTCTTATCAGTGGCCCCTGGGATGAGCCTGGGAGCAGGGGGTGACCCCGACGGCTCTCCAAGCGGCCAGACTTAGGTTTCAGGTTCTTGATTTTTGTTGGTGAGCCTCCCGCCCCACACACAGGGTCCTGCGCCGCCACCCCCCCCCCCCCCCGCCGGCTTCTCCCAGATGGCTCTGTGCTGGGGGCAGGTGACACAGCACTGCGCTCTCCCACCCCCTACACTGTTAATGCCGGGGCCGCCAAGACCCCGTGGTACCAAGGATCCAACTCAGGCTCTGGGTTCCAGGCTCAGGCCCCAGCCCGCTGAGGCATCACACCGGGCCCTTGATTTCAGGTTCTTAACTGCCCTGCACCTCCGCTAGAGAGTGCCCTGGTGCTCCCCTCCCCACACAAGGCACCCAGTTATACCCGTTTATACCCAGGCGGTCATCCAGGAGCTCTTGGTATCACTAAATAAATAAATAAATAGGCAATTCCTCCTCTCGGTGTCCTGCTCAGTAGACATTTCACATGCAAAATGAATATCCCATTCACTTCTCACTCCCCACCCAACACCCAGTCCTCTCCTTAACTCAGGGTCACAGAGTCGGGGGAGGGTTCCAGGGGCTACCACAGCCTCAGCAGCTGGGGGCAGGGCCCGCCAGGCTGAGGGACATGGGCCCTGCTGATCTGAAAGTAAGAATGCTGTCATTCAGCCCGTTTCACAGCTAACACAGGTTGTAGGGCTTGCCCGGGCTCATGAACCGGGCTCATCAACTGGCCCCAAGAATGGATGGAGGGGCTGGAGTGATAGCACAGTGGGTAGGGCCTTTGCCTTGCACGCAGCCAACCTGAGTTCAATTCCCAGCATCCCATATGGTCCCCTGAGCACCTCCAGAGGTAATTCCTGAGTGCAGAGCCAGGAGGAACCCCTGTGCATCGCCAGGTGTGACCCAAAAAGAAAAAAAAAAAAAAAAAGAAAAAAAAAGAAAGGATGGAGTTCGACTCTGCTCGTGGTGCTTGAGTTTCAGGTTCACAGTTATTGATCTACCCTCCACCTGGCCCTTCTTCCGTTCCCACAGCTGTCCCCTGCCACCTGCGCCCAGTGGGCTTTGCTGTCTAAATGGGGCCTCTAATCCCCCCATTCAGGGCCGTGGCATAGAGAGGACCCCCTTTAGTCCTGAGGACACTGAGGCACAGAGACTCCTCCTCATGCCTGAGGCCGCATAGCCAGGAAGCAGCAGGACACATGAGCCTGAGTCATGCCTCCTCCACCAGGCAGCCTCCTGGCTGACCCCTAGGGATGCTGCCTCCCAGGACCCTCAGTGCCCCTCACCCATGCAGCAGGGTAGAACTGCCCCGAGCACAGTCTGAGTGAGGGTGGAGGATGACGGTAACAGTAGGTGCCTTTCCTGGGCCCCTCCTCCTCACACCCTACTGGGCCCCCACCTTAAGCCCCTCCTAACACCAGACTCGGGGTCTGAGAGCCCGCAGGAAAGTCGGCTGCCATTGTGCTTCCAGCAGCAGCAGTGGGCACAGGACAATGCAGGTGTGTGGTCTGAAGGCCGCCCCACATCCTGACCTGCCCTGGGCTAACTGTCCACTCAGCACAGTCACATAGGGCTTCTGTGAGTCTGTTTCTGAGGGTCCCAGGGGAGCATGTCACCCCCCTCCCCAAGGATGAGAACCATGAGGATGGATTTGAGGGGGCACCTCAGCTGGCTCAGACAGGTGTGTTTGGGGTGTCCACAATGGAGAACTTATCCTTTGAGCACCCTTAGAGCATTCTACGCGCCCCCATACAGCAGTGGAAAGCCCTAGAGTGTGTCATACGCCCCCATGCAGAATCACTGGTTCCTGCCTGCCAGCCTGGGGGATGGGAGGGTGGGGAGGTAGATTCTTTGAAGCCAGGCAGGAAGCAGCAAGAGCTGTTATGTATGAGAACAGCTCTCCCGGCCACCCCCAGAGCCAGCTCAGAAAGTTCGGGGTTCCCCCCTCTCTCTGCTTCGGGGCCCTGTGGATGGTCCTGTAGCCTCAGCAAAGGACGATTGGAGGAGGTGGTGGCCATCTCCCGGGCAGCATCTCCAGAGGGGCCCTACCTTCCTTCAGGGAGGAAAGCATGGTCACCACCCTTGGGTGCTCCTCTGACACTGTCAGACCTGGCCCTATGACCTGCTACTCCGTGGGGGGCTCGGCCTGGGACTGAGGACACTGGGCTGGGCTCACCCCCAGGTCCCCTCTGCCCACCCTGGGACCTCGATCCCAGAGGCTGAGTGCAAGGCAGCCCCCCACCACCACCCCCGGGACCATGGGTCCCCATCATTTGGGCCATGGTGCTGGGTGGTTGCTCCTATCAGGGGAGCTGAGTGGGTGGCCAGGAAGCGGCTTCCCAGGGGCCCTGGCGGATGGCCTGGAGGCGGGGGAGGCTTCTGCCCGGAGGGGAGGTGTGGGGTGCCTGCAGAAGAATGGGGCTCACTCTCTACCGTGTGCCCGCAGGGAGGGCAGCGTCTCCACCAAGCAGATCGTCTTCCTCCAGAGACCGTGTCTACCTCAGAAGCTGAAGAAGAAGGAGTCAAAGGTGAGCGGGTCCTGCCTGCCCCCTCCGTCCCAGGCCCTGGCCCAGGGGCTCCACAGCCCAGCACCCCCAAACCCCACCCGAGGCTACCAGCAAGGTCCGGGGAGGCACTGCACGCCAGAGCAGGGGAGGGGGCTTAGTGGGGACATCTCCCGGGTGTCCTGTAGAGCTCAATCCCAGCTCTGCCACACCATCATTGGGGTGGGGGGGAGGGGGAACGGGCAGAAAGATGCTGCCAGAATCTTCCAGGTGTTTGCAGTTGATGGGGACAGGACAGGCTATTCGGGGCTGATTCGCTGGGCCCCAGGGGAAGTAGCCACACAGTGTCTTTAAGAGACCATGACTCTGGTACTGGAGCAGTAGCACAGCGGGTAGGGCGTTTGCTTTGCACATGGCCAACCTGGGTTCAATTTCCCGCATCCCATATGGTCCCCTGAGCACCACCAGGAGTAATTCCTGAGTGCAGAGCCAGGAGTAACTCCTGAGCATCACAAGGAGTGACCTCTGAGCATCGCCAGGCATAACCCCCACCACCAAAAAAAAGAGAGACCATTCTCAGGATGTCTCCACCCCCCGAGGGCAGCGCAGAAGCTTCACCCCAACTCTCAGCCATCTGTGGGTGCCTTTCCTGTGGGGGGTTCACCAGCCTCTCAGTAACCCTGCCATAGCCGGCCCTGGGGCCCCTTGGTGGCTGAGGCCAGGCTCCCCGCCCACCAGCACCGTCCCCAGGTGGGTCCTGAAGGGTCCCTGGATCTGCAGGCCACACCAGAGGGGATTCGACTGGAGTGGCCCCTCGCCAGGCAGCAGAGCCAGACAAAGCTGGTGGAGGGGACACCAAGGACAAGGTGTCCCGGCGCCAGAGGGCTCGGGGTGCAGAGGAAGGCCCGCCTCCGAGCTCCACGGCGCTGATGAGACAGGTGACAGCACAAAGGCCATCATCAGCCACTGGGAGCTGGCGGCCACTGGCCAGGAGGATGGACTGTCCACTGTCACTTAGAGTGGAGTGAATCCCAGGGACACAGATGCCCCACTTGGCGAAAGCCCCCCCCCCCACCTACCCATTGCTCTGGGCAGCCTCACGGGATACACAGTCCCTCTGGTACTGCTTCAGAGTGGAAGTCATCCCACAGCATTCACTGTGGGGGTGACGCAGAGCTCGGAGCACCCTGCCTTGGGGGTGGTACTCTCTGGGGCACTGCCTCCCTGCCCCGTCTCAGCTCGCTCAGACACCTCCCTTTTTTGTTGTTTTTTATTTGGGGCTACACCAAGCTCTGGTAAAGTTTCACTCCTGGCTCTGTGCTCCTGGGAGTTGGGGGGGGGGGGACAGGGGGAGGGTCACACTTGGTGGGGCGCTGGGGAACCAGATGGGGTACTGGGAATTGAACCCGACTCAGCCGCTTGCGAGGCCAGCACCCACCCACAGTATTCTCTCTCTCTCTCCAGCCCCACACCTCCTTTTTCTAAGCCTTGAGATAAGAAATGCAGTTTACCCTTGAGCAACACAGGCTTTTGTTTTTGTGGGTTTTTTTTTGGGGGGAGGGCGTTGTTTTTAAAATTTCATAGGACTTTAATTTGATTTTAATGATTTGATTTTTCCCCGTATATCCGGTAGAATATATATGAGCCCAGATCTGTAAACAACACAGACTTGCTTTTTTTTTTTTTTTTTTTTTTTTTGCTTTTTGGGTCACACCCAGCGAGATGCTCGGAGGTTACTTACTCCTGGCTCTGCACTCAGGAATTACTCCTGGCAGTGCTCTGGGGATCCTATGGGATGCCAGGGATTGAACCCAGGTTGGCCGCATGCAAGGCCCTACCAGCTGTGCTATTGCACCGGCCCCCCAGCACAGGCTTTTGGGGTGCTGACGCAGGTTCTGACTGCAGTGGCCTGCTGCTGTCATTGAACGCAGTCCAGTGACACCTCTTGTATGGATGCGTTGCTGTACGGCCTGATAGTCAGATGAACTAGAGGAAGGAGAGGGTCTACTGAGGCAGCCCTGGGAAGACATGCACAGTCAGGAACTGGACATAGCTGCCCTAGCTGCCCACTAAGTCTTTCATTGGTTTGCAGGGAAACCTGCATCCCAGGGGCCCCAGCTGTTGCCCAGTGCTTTCCGGGCTCAGACTGTGATCCCTGAGCTAGTACCGTCGTCCTCAGAGTAGACGGGCCCACAGCACAGCACACTGCGTCCGGCCACCTTGGCTGTGCTTTGCTGCCCGATAACCAAGAACCTGCACTGAAATCTCAAAGCCAGGGATGTGGCCCAAGGGGTCCCTGTGTATGTAAGAAGCCTCGTGTTTAATCCCCAGTACCCCCTAATCCCCACACCTCCCACCATATGCCTGTGCCCCTCAAACAATAAAAAATGCAGAGTCGGGGCTGGAGCGATAGTACACTGAGTAGGGCATTTGCCTTGCATGTGGCCGACCCGGGTTCGATTCCCAGCAACCAATATGGTCCCCTGAGCACTGCCAGGAGTAACCCCTGTGCATTGCCTACTGTGACCCTCCCCCCAAAAATGCAGGGTTCTCGCCTTCCAGGAGGCCAGCAAAGTGAAGCGGGGGGCAGAAGGGTGTCTGTCACACAGACATCTCTGGGAACCTCTCACCAGGCCTGGCCTGGTGAGTTTGGGAGCCAGTCCAGGCCTGCCTGCAGACCCCACTCACATTTCATTTACCATTATTGATATTTTAAAAATAAGCCTGTTCAAGCTAAGATATGATTATACCATCATGAGACGCAATTAGAAAATGAAATTTAATGCAATATACTTTTTAAATATATATATATAGTGAATAGAAAAAATATTCAGATCTTCAGAGTTCTCACCGAAAGAAAATGTTTTCTTTGTTGTTTTCTTTTTGTTGTGTCTGGAGGAGAAGATGGATATTAGCTGACCTGTTATAGCAATCACTTCCCAATATGTGATGCTAGAGCAGGAAGCAGCCTGGACCAGTCCCTGGATGCTAGAGTATGCTGCAGCCCAGAATGGTCCCTGGATACTAGAGCAGGAAGTAAGCCAGAATGGTCCCTGGATGCTAGAGCAGGAAGCAGCCTGGAGCTGTCCCTGGATGCTAGAGCAGGAAGCAGGCTAGAATGGTCCCTGGATGCTGAGTGGGATGTAGCCTGAATGGTCCCTGGATGCTAGAGCAGGATGCAGCCGTATTGGCCCCTGGATGCTAGAGCACATTATTCGTGAGCACTGGCACATTAGAGAGACTGCAGGTATAGACTCTGTTAGCGATCTGAATCCTCCTGCTTTTATGCACAGTTCTGGTGGCATCTTGACCAGACTTACGAAAGGCAGGCTGAGTCTTCAAGATCACTCTGAGTGCCAGTGGGCTTTCCTGGCAGGTGGGGAAGCACTCGGTTCTGGCTTCAGCCTGGGCAGGGCATTTATGTGGAACATGTGTTAGGCGAAGTGCTGTGGGGTAAGGAGAGGTCAAAAGGGCCGGGAGGCAGACCCAGCTGTAGCCGCCAAAGCTGCCTTGAGTATCTCTGGGCTGGGACAGCCTGTGAAGTTGTCCCGAGCTGGGACAAGGAGGCCGCTATGGTGCCCACCTGGTCATCAGGGCCCGGAGGGAGGGAGTGTGACCTTGCTGAGATGGAGGGACGCTCAGAGGGCTCTGTGGGGCCATTAGCCCCCACGATACAGCCCCCCACCCCCATATCTGGGCCCTGTGACTCAACCATGAGAGGGTGTCAGACCACACCTGGTGGTCTACACCCGCCAGCGGGAGGGAAGTGAATAGCTGAACCTTGGCACTTGGGAAGGGCGAAGCCAGGTTCCATTTTCATCCTGCTGCTCCAAAGTCTAAGACTTCAGACTTCAATAGAAAGAAATTCCCTCCCCCACCCCTGCAGAGCTCTGATATTAACCTGTGCCACTCAACTGCATGGCTGGAGGCTTGCTTGCCCCCTTGGGTCTCTGTTTGGGATGACGGGGTTTGCTGCCAGCAAACATTCAGGGCTCACGGGTGGGCTGTGTGTATTAATCCCCACCCGCTCTGATTCCTAGTTTCAGTGGCGATTCTCCCGGGATGAAATGCACAGCCGGCAGATGCGGAAGTCCAAAGGCAAGAGCCGCACCAGGGACAAGCGACAATCCGAAGAGAACGAGAAGAATCTCGAGGAGCCGTTTTCCAAAGCCGAGGGCGTGGGAAACTGCGTGGCAGGCCAGCCACGGGAGGAAGGCGCCTCGGAGGAGCTGAGGGGCCACGCGGGGGAGGGCCCGGGAGAAAAGGGGGGCCCGGGAGACAGGGCCATGCAGAACGGCCCAGCGCACCACTCAGGCCCTGAGCCCGGAGAGGAAGCCCTGGAGGGTGACTTGGAGGAGGCGGCTGTGGAGCCCAGTCCTGAAATTGACAACTGAGCCTTTAGAATAGGCAGCTCCCCCCTCACCCCCAGGCCCTGGCCGGCCGCAGCCGGTTGGGGTGCAGGTTGCCCTGAATGTCGTGTGTTCCCCCTTTGGCTTGGCTTCAACTCTCCTTGTGCGCTGACCGGGTCCCTCACTGTGTTGGTCTGCCACATCCATCCACATGTGTCGCGGTGCCCCAGTGTCACAATGCAAGAGGTGGGGTGATACCCTCAGGACCTCACACCTGGAGGCCGGCCTGGCCCCACCCAGGGAAGGGTTTGGACCAACCAGTGCCTGTTTCCACCCCTGGTGGGGGGAGGAGCATTTGGGGCCAATCCATGGGCCCTCCAGGCTACAAACCAAGGTGATTGGTTGTTGGCTTCCACTCGGGCAGGTTTCCATCCCCCGAAGCCCCCTCCAAACTGCTCTTCTCCATAGAAATCCCTCAGACCCTGCTGCTTTGGCAAAGAAAGTGACATGTGGGGGGAGGAGAGGGAGAAGAGCACCCACCTTTGGCTTTTCTCAGAGTGTTCCCCCCTAGATACTTACTGATAATCGGGAAGAGGTTAATTCTGTCTGTGCACCTGCTTTATCTGCAGAATGTCTGAGAAAGTATTGTGTTAGTCTTAATGCCAAAAAAAGTTTTTAAACGTTTTGTATTCAGCACCTACGAACACATCCTATGAACACATGTTTTTCTGTCGTTTTGGGGGGTGACCCAGCTGTCGGGGAGACCCCACTGTGTGCTATTTTAGTCCATGTGCCATTGGCCAAGTTGTCGCCTATGTAATGCTCTCACGTGTTTTCGATTGTCCAAAAAGTATTGTTAAGGCTTTAAGTAGATGCACCTGGAAACCCCAGCGAGAGAATCGATTGTCTTCTAGACCAAAACAACAGCCTGTCTCTTCTCTTGTTTAGTTACTTAAAGCAATAAATCATCTATGAGTTCAGTGCATCCTGAGTATTTATTGTATCACAAGGCAGTCCTCACACAAAGAACTTGACCCCATTTCTTTCTCTTTTTTTTTATTAGTGAAACACCATGAGGTAAATCCAAGTAGCGATGGCACAGCGGTAGGGCTTTTGCCTTGCGCGTAGCCAGTCCAGCCGAACCGGGTTCGTTTCCTCCACCCCCTCGAAGAGCCCGGCAAGCTACCGAGAGTATCTCGCCCGCACAGCAGAGCCTGGCAAGCTACCCGTGACGTAGTCAATATGCCAAACACAGTAACAACAAGTCTCAAAAAAAAAATGGAGACGTTACTGGGCCCTCTCGAGCAAATTGATGAACAACGGGAGGACAGTGTCCAGTGTCCACCATGAGGTACAGTTGTAGACTTACAAGTTGTTGTGCTTGGGTTTCAGTTATACAATGATCGAGTATCCATCCCACCACCAGTGCCCATTCTCCACCCCCACCAATCCCAGTATCCCTCCCAAACCTCCCATCCCCCATCCCACCCTGCCTTTGTGGCAGGGCACTCCCTTTAGTTCTCTCTCTCCCTTTGGGTGCTGTCTGACCACATTTCTCATCCACTTTTTTTTTTTTTTGTAAGTTTCTCGATCCTGGCAGCCTAAGCTGGGAGAATGAAAGTTCATCATATTTTAGTAGCTGGAGCAGGAGGTTGGGGGTCTTTTGAAGGGAGGCCACACCCAAGTACGCTCAGAGCCTACTCCTGGCTCTGAGCTCGTGGATCATTCCTGGCGTTGCTCAGGGAACCGTAGAGAGAGCCAGATGTAGACTGAGTCCAGGACAGCTGCATGCGAGGCAAGTGCCTGACCCACTGGACTATCTCTCCAGCCCCATTTGTTTGTTTTTGTTGGCGGGCCGCACCCAGCAGTACTCAGAGCTTACTCCTGGCTGTGCACTCAGGGATCAGTCTTGGAGATGCTCAGGAGACCGTAGGAGGTGCTGCGGATGGAACCCAGAACAGTTGTGCACAAGGTGAGTGCCTTGTTCTTTGGCCCGTAGTTGGCCACATTTTGGGAAATGAAGTCTAAGCCTTTTCTGTGCTTACAGAGAGGGGACAGGAAGTAGGATTGAGATGCCACCCAGAGCTAGGAGAGGCCACATCGACTTGCCTGGGCAGGTGGGGACAACCTAAGCAAGGGGTGAGAGATAGCTAGAGTGCACGCCAGGCAAGCGCCAGGTCTGAGTTTGATGTCAGCCCCTCCATCCTCTCTTGGCAGCATCACCACCCCCTCTCCCATGTGCCCCTCTAGGCCCCTGGTCACAGAACCAGCAACCACCAGGCTGAGCATTGCTAGAAGAGTCCCAGGTCTGGTTACTGTGGGGTATGGCCTCTATTTTTAAAAAAAGTAAAGCGATAACCCTTCCCTCCATCTCTAAGCTTTAGATTCAGTTATTCAAGATAAGTCTTTTTCCCTGTTTGCAAGTTTGCTGAAATAAAATGCATCGTGTGTGTGGGCTCTGGCAGCCCAAGACCTCCAGAACAAACCACCACCATGCTGAGACCACTCTCCACAGGCATGAAGGTACCGGCAGAGGAACAAAGGCATGCGGGTCCTGGGGCTGAGATCTCCAAGACTGCTTGGGTCTGGGCTGAGCATCCTGCACCCACCCAGATCCTCCATATTCCAGTAAGCAGGGGTCACACCCACCAACTGGCCACCTGGCACCGTGTGATCCCATCAACGGCCAAGACCCAGAGACTATAAAACCCAGCTCCCGCGACATCTTATTATCTCATTCTTACTTTGGACAACCTGGCCAGTTACCGAATGTAACCTGCCCACACGGCAGAGTCTGGCAAACTCCCCGTGGTATACCAAATATGCCAAATACCAGTAACAATGATGGGTCTCATTCTCCTAACCCTGAAAGAGCCTTTAATATGGCACTTTTTAAAAAATCTCAGGGCTAGGACAAAGGAGACGTTACTGGAGCCTGCTTGAGGCAATCAACGAACAACAGGATGGTCGTGATCGTGTGTGTGTATGTGTGTGTGTGTGTAGCACAGCCACATCACACAGGTCCTTTCCTCCTGGTTGTTTGGGTTTGGGGTGATACTCAACAGTGCTCAGGGCTTACTCCTGACTCTGCACTCAGGGCTCACTCCTGGTGGGATGCAGGGACATACCGTACTCACTTTACTATCTCCAGTTTCACCCCCTGCCTTTTGAGCAACATTCCCCGACCCCACTCCAGAGGTTGCCAGGAAAGGTGGGAGCTCTGTGTACAGAGAAGCTGACTCTCACAGTGACCTTTCCTGCCACCCAGCAGTAGCTCTCATACTGAATTTGGATTCAATGAAAATCGCAGCTCTTAGCCCAGATCTTGTAAGATCCCAACTATCCAACCGGGTTCGTTAGCAGCAACCTGGGATGATGCCAGCGTTTAGCTTTCCCAGCCAGAATAAAGGGGGCAGCTCAGAGCATCTGGGCAGGCGAAAGTGGGTGCCGGTGGCTGTTGGTCTTCCCCGGGAACAAAGCTATCAGGACTAAGGGACCTCCTGATCACACCACACAGCCCAAAGGGGTGTTTCTGGGATTCCAGGGTCCAGATATGTGGCGAGGTCAAGAGCAGCCTCTGAGGGCACAAGAGATGGCTGTGCGGGGTGTTCTTGAGGGTTCTTCGGCCATCTGCAGGTGTTTAGAGAGAGGGAAATTCCCTCCCGGGAACAAGGCTGTCCCTCTGCAGGGAGGCCCAAATCCCCATCCTTCAGCTGGGAAACATTTTCAGGATTTGCTCTTGCCCTCCAAAGGCATGGGAGAGTTGGGGCAGAGCTGGGATCCCTGGACAAAGGGAGCAGCTGAGGGTTTTTTGTTTGCTTGTTTGTTTGTTTGTTATTGAATCACCGTGTGATAGAGTATTCTGTTCATGAACAAAACTGTTCGTGATTGCATTTCAGTCAAACAGTGCTCCAACACCCATCCCTCCACCAGTGAAATTTCCCAGCACCAGTGTCCCCAGTTTCCCTCCCACCCCTTCAAGATACCCCCCACCCCTGCCTGCCTTTATGGCAGCGCTCTCTCGCTCTCTCTCTCTCTCTCTCTCTCTCTCTCTCCCATTTTAGGCATTATGGTGTGCAAAACAGATGCTGAACGATTATCATGTATATCCCTTAACTTGCTTTCAACACTCAGTTCTTGTCCAGAGTGATCATTTCCAACTAGTACTGTCATAATGGACCCTCCTCTCTCTCTTAACTACTCTCCATCCACCACACCCTTGTGGTCATTCCCAACCATTGACCAGTCCTCCTGGGTCATTTTCCCTGGTCTTGGATATTAGTTTCAGACGGTTCTATTTTAACATCCCACCAATAAAAGCAGTCATTCTCTCTCTGTTCTTCCCCTGCTGACTGTTGCACCAGCAGCGTGGCTTATGGGCAGGAATACATGGACCTAGGTGCCCGGTGTGGCAGTGGCCAGGCCTATTCATGAACAAAACTCTTCATGACTGAGTTTCGGTCACACAATGTTCCAAAACCCATCCCTCCACCAGGCTTAATTTCCCCAGCATCAAGTAGGTCCGGGTCAGCAGTTGGGACCCCAGGTGGCATGTGAAATGGGAGAGAGAGAGGGAGAGGGGGAGAAGGACTGTAGCAGGCAGCCCCGAGGCCCTGCCCCCACCCCCACCTCAGTTTCCAGCAGCCCTGCCGGAAGAGCTGGGAGCTGTCTGCGTGAGCCAGGCTGGGTGGCCACTGCTGATTAGCTCACTGTCCTCTCTGCGACCTTCCAGAAGCACAGATGCCGCTCCCAGGGGAGTCTGACTTTCCTGAACCAGCTCCTGGAGCTCGGAACAGGGAAGGGAGCCGTGAGGACATGAGCTCGGAGACCAGATGCGTCTCCCTACGCCTTTGGCTGGAACTTTCCTAGGTGATTGTCGCCAGAGAAGGAAGCAGGGCGATGTACTCGGGTGGGAACCGGGTGGAGGGCGGGGTGCGGGGGGGGGGGGGGAGGGGTGTGATTTCCTGCTGATATTGATCACTTCCGGCAGGTTCCTGTTGATATTGATCAAGCCTCTGTTCAGACAAAAGAAATGCGCTGGCTGCAGAGGGCTGGACTAGCTCTGGCTTACAGATCCTGCCTCCCTGGACTCCAGGACAGTGTGGGGTACCCCACCCCACAGGCCCTTCCCCCTCAGCCCCCTGGAGCAGATGGATTGTAGGCCACTCGGCTAGATGGAGGAGACACACGCCCAGCCTGGTGCCCTGGAGCTCACATGAGGCATTCCATGAAAGTCACAGGACTAGAAGAACCGGAGTCCTGCCCGAGACTTCTTCTTTTTTTTTTTTTTATTTTAAATTTAAGCCGACCTTATTTTTTTAAAGTATGTAAATAGAAAACATTTATTTTCATTATTTTCCAAGATTTTTTTAAATTGAATTACTGTGTGATAGACCCTTACAAAGCTGTTTATGATTAGGTTTCGGTCATCACCAGTGTCTCCAATTTCCCCTCCCTTCACCACCCCAACTCTATGGCAGGCTCTCTCTGTGTCTGTCTGTCTGTCTGTCTGTCTGTCTCTCTCTCCCCCCCCCCCCCCCCCCGCCTCCCTGCCCCCAGTTCCTTTTGGGCATTGTGGTTTACAATACAGATGCTTAAAGGTTGCCATGTATATGTAGACATCCCATTACGTAGTTTCAACACTCAGTTCTTGATTAGCACGAGCATTTCCAACTATTATTGTCATTCTAGGCCTTTATCTTACCTACCCTCCACCCCCCCCCCCCCACACACACACACTTGTTAATTCCAACCAATGGCCAATCCTCCTAGCCCCTGTTTTCCCTGGCCTTGGATATTAGTCCTCTACTATATATATGTTTTTATATCCCACAAATGAGTGCAGTAATTCTAGATCTTCCCCTCTCCTTCCAACTCATATCACTCAGCATGACACTCTCCATGTCCATCCGTTCATAGGCAAATGTCTTTATTTTTCCTAAGAGCTGTATAGTATTCCATTGTGTGGCTGCACTATAGT